TCTTCTTCTTCTTCTTCTTCTTCTTCTTCTTCTTCTTCTTCTTCTTCTTCTTCTTCTTCTTCTTCTTCTTCTTCTTCTTCTTCTTCTTCACCTTTTTAGAGCTTTATTGGGAGAGAGAGAGAGAGAGAGAGAGAGAGAGAGAGAGAGAGAGAGAGAGAGACAGCAGTCTTCTTCTAAGGCAGATTCATTGTCACCTCTGCCTAAATATTTTAGTCATCTCCAAATTTAGAACAGAGCCCAAAGTAAGCTTCATGGTGGCACTCGTCTGTCATCCGAGCATTTGGAAGGTGGAGGCAGAAGGATCAGGAATTTAAGATCATCATAGTGAGTTCCAGGCCCGCTTGGGATACATGGACCCATACTTCAGGTTGTACATCCCCCTCTCTGCCCTTAACAGAGTTTCCAGTCCTGTTGTAAGGAAATTACTTAATAACAACCATCCTGACTTCATACCTTTGCATAAGTATGTTCCAAAAGATCTTTTAAAACTTTGTTTCCAAGCTTACAAATTCCAGTTGATTGTACATACATTAACCACAGTTTTCTAAATGTCAGTGACAACAGTTTGTGACTTTGGAGTGACTTAGTGCAGGGTCGTAGTCTGCTCAAGGGCGGAGCCCAGGACCCTGCCTTTACCCCTCCACCTATACACACTGCTGGGACGGGGATTGGTCCTCAGTAGTGTTTGATGAGTAACTTAAATTTACACCCAAGATGAATATTTTCATACTCATATCACTTCAGTCTTTAATTTTTTTGTTTTGGGTTTTTTGAAACCGGGTCTCGTATAGCCCACAGGCTGGCCTTGAACTTGAGATACGTTGCTGAGGATAACTGAACTCCTGGTTCTCCTGTGTTTCAAGTGGTGGGATTAATATCATGTGTGCACTACCACAACCAGTCCTTTTTTATTTGAGGATAGCAGAGAGGTGATGTATATGAGAAGTATACAAGTCTTGGTGCTTGTATGGAATATCCGAGGACAACCTCTGGTGTTTGTTTTTGCTTTCTACCTTGTTTGAGATATCTTACCTTAATTTGAATTACGTGCATTATGGGGAGAGGTGTGTGCATGTGAGCACAGGTGCTCTTGGGTGCCCCCGGAGCTAGACTTCGATGTGGTTGTGAGCTGTCTAACATGGATGCTGAGAACCAAACTCGAGTCCTCTGCAGGAGCAAGTATGCAAACCACTGAGGCGCCTCTCCTTTGCTACTTTGTTTAAAAAACTAGCTGGCCATGCAGCTTCCAGATAGTCTCCTGCCTCTGTCTTCCAACTTGCGGTGGGAACACTGGGATTACAGACATTTGCTACTCCTTCCGGCTTTATGGGGGCACTGAGGATCCGAACTCAGTGCCACATGACTGTCCCACCAGTGCTCTACCACTGACCCATCTCCTCAACTACCCCCTCCCTCTGTCTGTCGTCTGTCTGTGTGTAGTGTCTTGCTGTATAGCCCTAGTCTAGAACTCAAAATCCTTCTGCCTCGGTTTTTCAAGTACTGAGAGTACAGTCTTACTTCACAACCAGTCTGGGCAAATGACTTGAACTGCCCAAGTATTAACAATACAAATGTTGGGATGCGGTTTGACGCCGTTACCACTGGGCTTCTTGGCCACTCACTACTCCTGAAAACACTGAAATGAGTTTCTAGACCTTCAGATAATGAGTTCTCCCGGGTTACAGTCCCACAATTCAACTTACCTAACTGGAATTCCCTCTCTGACCTATGGCTGAGTCATTTCCTCTATTTGTTCTGTCCTTTCACCAATTCTGTTCATCCCTGCTCCCTGCCCAGGTTCTCCTGGTTTCAGAATGAGCATCAGTAGGCTGAGGGTGAAATCAGGTTTCACTCTGTAGCCCAGGCTGGCCTTGATCCTTGTGATTCTCCTGTTCCAGCCACCGAGTGCCGAGATTGCAAACGGACACTAGCTTGCTCAGTTTATGATGATCTTCAACAAAGCCTAGTTCAGCCAGGTGTGGCAGAGGCAGAAGAATCGCTGTGAGTCTGAACCCTTAGCTACATGATGACTTCCAGGTTAGCCTAAAGTACACGGTGAGACCTTGTTTAAAAACAAAACAAAAAAACAAAAAGAATGCCTGTATGTTTAATCAGCTTAGTTTTTAGGGTACTACAGCAGGCTTTCTCAGACCACCAGCCCCCAAATCATG